TACAATAATACTCAAAGAAAAATACTTAGTTCTACATCAAACCAACAGAAATACTACACAATTTTGTCAACTTTAGTAAAATATAATTTTAGCAGGGTATATAACTTACAAGGTGAAAACATCAAATTTAGTTCATTTTTCTTTTTTTTTTTAACATTTATTTAGTGCGTGTGTGTGTGTGGCCAGCTCAGCCCACCAGGGGGCGCGGCTGGCTGGCATGTGGTGCTGGGGTATCTAACTGTGGTCCCTGTGCTTTTCCAAGCTTGTTCCAAATAGGTGCTTTAGACCACTGAGCCATCTCTCCAGCCCAAATTTAGTTCATTTTTCAATAATTGCTTACTAAAAAAAAACTACTTACTTTTGAAAACAAAGACATAATTTTCCCAACACTCATAATTTTCCCATAATTTCAAAATAATGACTTTTAACTTTACTATTTTAATAGCCATCAGACAATCCAATGATTATTATAACTCAAAGCAGGCACTTATAAAGTCACAGGAAGGTTAATCATCTGCATTTCAAAAGGTTAACCACTACAGCAAGTTCACAGGGGTTTTTCCCAATCTATATTAGAGCTATTTCAAGAGTTACCACAGTTAGACATTACATGACATTTACACTGCTTCCCTACTATGTAGCCCTGGCTGGCCTCTCCAGGCAATCCTCCTGCCTCAACCTTCAGGTGCTAGATTTACATGCACGCAACACCATGCCCATCTTAGACTCTATCTATATGTACTTCAATAATACACACATACTTGGGCTGGAGAGATGGCTCAGTGGTCTAAAGCACCTACTTGGAACAAACTAAGCTTAGCAAAGCACAGGGACCACGGTTCGATCCCCCAGCACCACATGCCAGCCAGCCCTGCCCCCTGGTGGACTGAGCTGGCCACACACACACACAATAAATAAATGTAAAAAATAAATAAATAAACAGCGGAATATATTTAAAAAAAATAAAAATAAAAAAATAAATGTAAAAAAAAAATTAAAAAAAAAATCAAGAAACTTATAATACACACATACTTGACTAAGTATACATGTATGCATATGCATATACTCAACTACATTTCATCTTCTGTGGTGTCAGGGATTGAACTCTAGACCTTGTGCTTGCCAGGCAGGCACTTAAGCCACTGAGCTACATCCCCAGCTCTACTAGTTTATTATGATCACTGTATTTGTTTTTGTTTTTTTTTTAAATCTGTCAAGATTTGGAAAATATAGAAATAAAAGTATGGTATTGGACTATGGAGGTAACTAGTTCACATAGGAAAGAAGCCAGGCATGGTAGAACACATCTAAAATGCCAGCATTTTGGAGGCTGAGGAAAATGGATCCTAAGTTCAAGGACACTTGAAGCTTAACCATAAGTTCAAAACCAACTTGGACTGCAAAAAGTAGAGCCTATCTCAGGGCTAGGGAGATAGCTCAGTGGAGTCAAGGTCCTGAGTTCCACCTCTGGTACCACCAAAAAAAAAAAAAAAAAGGAAAAAAAAAGGAGGGGGGATTGCTGGCCAGATAGCTCAGCGGAGTAAAGCGCCTGCTTAGGTAGAGCCCAGTGACTGGGGTTTGATCCCTGGTGTGCCATGCAGGCCCCGCCCTGATGGTGATTGAGACTGGGGGTGGTAGCACACACCTGTAATCCCAGCGCTTGGGAGGCTGAAAACAGGACAATCACCACGAGTCGGATCTGCGTAGCAAGACCCCCCTGTATAGACCCTATAGATCCTGTACCAAATACATCAAAAAACAAAACAAAACAAAAATAGGACCCTATCTCAAAATAAGAATAAAATAATGTCAAGTCTTGCGCTTCAAGTTTTTATTCTTTTTAAGTTTTTATTCTATAATCAAAGAAAAACAATGCTTCTACAGTCAAAAGTTTAAGATAATGTGACTTGAAGTTAAATTATCACTTGTGTGAAATTCTAAAGCACTTCTGCATGCTTTAAAATAAGTACTGAGGGGCTGGTGAGATGGCTCAGTGGTCTAAAGCACCTACTTAGAACAAACTAAGCTAAGCAAAGCACAGGAACTGTGGTTCAATCCCCCAGCACCACATGCCAGCCAGCCCTGCCCCCTGGTGGGCTGAGCTGGCCACACTCACACACAAAATAAATAAACAAATAAATAAAATAAGTACTGAGGTTGAGAATTATTTCAGTGACACAGTGCTTGCCTAGTATGCCTGAGCTCCCATATGAAAAGCCCAAACTCTGAAAAAAATTTAACATCTTTTAATGATTCACTCCTTCGCTCAGAAAGGTATCTTGCTTTACAGAGTGTAAGCTGTCATGAGCACACATGCTACTATTCCATTGTCTCTGAGTTCAACAGTTTATTTAAAACTCAAAATACAATAATCCCAGAACCCGGGAGGCTGATAGAGGTTCATGAGTCTGAGAACAGCATGGGCTTCATAATGATTTCAAGGCCAGCCCAGACTACATAGTAGGATCATTTAAAAAACACAACAAAACAAAAACCCTTGAACAGAATCTTTATAACCTGCCATTGGGCATGATAATACATATATGTAATCCCAGCTACTCACACAGGAGGATGAAAAATTTGAGGCCAGCCTCAGCAACTTGATGAGAACCTGTCTCAAAATAAGAATAACTGCCTACATACAATGCAGGAGGCCCAAGCACAATCTCTCATACAAAAGAAAAAAAT